AGGGGTATTCAGTTAAACAGGGAAGTAGTAAATTCAAACCTAATAAAAAGAATCACTTTGCAGAATGCAGGATTACCTTGTGGAGTTCCTCATTGTCCAAATTATCACTGAGGTTGGTAGCTTAGCTGGCTTCAGTAAAGAGCAATAAGGAGAGAAAACAGAGAAATATAGTAATAAGTTTAAAGGAAGGATAAAAACTGACAACTTTTAGGGTATATTCCAACCCCCAACTATGTGTAGTTAGGGTTCTGAGGAAATTTTTCTTGGAAACAAGTTATTCCACACCTACCGCTATAGAGTTTCTTCCTCAAAAATGGCAGGATATTTGCCTAGATGGGTTCATTCATCAAATCTTAAAGGGGAATATTGATACTTTCACACACTGAGACTGGAGTTTGGCCTACTCCCTTTATTTTCTTTTAATGAAATGACATAACATTATCATTTCTATTTTTAATCTCCAAGGAATGCTATATGTCCCAGAGATGCCGGGGCTATGGGGGAACCCCGGGCCAAAACCAAAGGGGAAGAAAGCCCCTACTTACCCCTCACAGGAGCCGGAGGTAGCAGAGGAGCGCACACTGGAAAACCGCCCACGCGGTTCATTAGCTGCGCTCATATTCAGCTGGGGCCGGGTGACGTCAGTGAGAGACACCACCCGGCAGAAATAAAGTGCAGCCCCAGGGGCACAGGTGGCGGGCAGAAGACCGGAGAGCCCGCGGGAGAACCCAAGGTCGGGAGCTCGCATCCACAGGGTCTGTTTGCCTGAGGTGGTGAGAGCCGCAACTACTGAGGAGCTGTTAAAGTGACCGGGGGAGAAACCGGCAGAAGAGCCGGCAGAGAAGCTGGTGAAGGAACCGTCAGAGGTGCCGGTGGAGAAACTGACAGCGAAGCTGGTGGAGGAGCCGGCCACGGCTACAGGACCTCAGGGGGCTGTAGCAATGTCCCCAGACGGGAGCTGCCTAGGGGACTCTGAGGCACTGGGCAGTTGCAGGGCTCCTTGGGCTAGGGCTCGCTACTTTCCTCGTAGGCCTTCTTGCCCGGTGGTTACACCTCCCCGGCAGGCACGGTGGTGGGGTTGTTTTTTTTCTACACGTGGTGGCACAACGAGTGTTGGAATAGGGTAGGGTCTGCAGGTATCAAGGGCCTCTTAGCCCTCACACTGGAGTCCAGCCTAGGCCACCAGGTCCCGTTGCACTGGGACTACGGGAAGTCCAAGGGAAGAGACGAGGAGGGGCCAGTAATAAAAGAAGACTTGGAGACCCGCGGCAGAAGGTGGCATTTGGCTGGGGTGTAGGAGAGGTTGGAGCCCCGTGAGTGCCTGCCGAGGGCGTGACAACCCTGGAGGGTGCCTCGAAGGGGACCCCCTCCACTGAGGATCCATTCAAAGTCGTGGCAGGCGAGTTAAGGGGGTCTTCCGACACCATCCGAGGCACCCTCTGGGGTCCTCTTGCAGGCCTGGGGCAAACCTGGTCAACTGCCCAGGCAAAAGCTGCTCGAGAACGCATAGTAGAGCAAAGGCGGGCACACTATAATTGGCTTCTTTTTTAATTATTCAACATTTCTAACCCTCCTTCTGAGTATTATAACTTGTTATGACACTTTCACATACTTGAACAATACCTTGATGTGAGGGGCTTTCTACCAATACATAAGATGCCAATTCTCACATGTAATAGAAGTTCACAATTCTCACACATTATTATGTTTATGTAGCCAAGTAGAAAACCACTCTTCCAAGACAAACAGCAGCTTTACAAAACTAGCACTTGCAACATAACATCCATATTCAGGCAGCATTAAATATAGGCAGTCCTCAGATACAACATAATTGGTTCCTGAAAACCACCTCTTAAGTCGAAACCTTGTAACTCAGAACCAATTTTCTCATAAGAAACAATGTTATAAATGGGGGATTGGTTCATTTCACCCAGGTCAAAGAGTCCTCCACTAGTCAGAAGTACAAACCACCTTGAACTAAGCAAAGACTCTAGGATGACTGAAAACATGCATTTACAAAATTGGGTTAAAGTTTTAAACAAATGCACCAATCATAGAATCATAGAAAATTAAGGTTAGAAGGGACCTCAGGAGGTCATCTAGTCCATCCCCCTGATCAAAGCAGGACCAGCCCCAGCTAGATCATCCAAGCCAAAGCTTTGTCTAGCCAGGTCTTAAAAACCTCCAAGGATGGAGCTTCCACCATCTCTCTGGGTAACTTGTTCCAGTGCTGTACTACCCTCCTAGTGAGAAAATTTTTCCTAATATCTAATCTAAACTTCCTTTGCTGCAACTTGAAACTGTTTCTCCTTGTTCTGTCATCTGCCACCACTGAGAACAGTTTAGCTCCATCCTCTTTCAACCCCCCCTTCAGGTAGCTGAAGGCTGCTATTATATATATCTACTCTCAGTCTCCTCTTCTCTAAATTAAAAGCCCAGTTCCCTCTTATAAGTCATGTCCCCAAGCCCCCTCACCATTTTTGTTGCCCTCTGATGGACTCCAATTTGTCCACATATTTTCTGTAGTGGGGAACTCAAAACTGAACACAGTATTCATGGTTTCACCAGTACTGAATAAACACTGGAATAATTACTTCCCTTGACACTCTTACTGAGGCAGCCCAGTATGCTGTTAGCTTTCTTTGCAACAAGGGCACACCCTTGGCTCATATTCAGCTTATTGTCCACTGTAACCCCCCAGGTCCTATTCTGCAGAGCTGCTGCCCAGCCAGTCAGCCCCCAGGCTGTAGTGGTGCGTGTGGTTCTTCTGTCCTAAGTGCAGGACTTTGCACTTCTTGTTGAACCTCATGAAATTCCTTTTGGCCCAATCCTCCAACTTGTCTAGGTCATTCTGAATCCTAGCCCTACCTTCCAGCATATGTACTACTCCCCCCAGCTTGGTGTCACCTGCAAACTTGCTGAGGATGCACTCTATGCCATTGACCAGGTTGCTGATGAAGACATTGAACAAAAACGGCCCCAGGACTGATCCCTGGGGCACTCCACTTGATACCAGCTGCCAACTAGACATCGAGCCATTGATTACTACTGTCTGAGCCTGATGCTCCAACCAGTTTCTTATCCACTTTACAGTCCATTCATCCAGCCTGTACTTCCTTAACTTGATTGCAAGAATGTTATGGGAGACTGTATCAAAAGCCTTGCTAAAATCAAGGTACACCACATCCACTGGTCTCCCTGCATCCACAGAGCCAGTCAACTTGTCATAGAAGACAATCAGGTTGGTCAGACAATTCACAGATGAAACTGACAATTACATCTGAAGCTGCTGCAACAATTTCAGTCTAAAAACTAATTTATACATGATAATACCAGCAAAAAACAAGTGGTAAGTCTGGGGATGTGGGCATCAATTTAAATGTATATCAGTAATTACATCTTCAGCATAACTAATTGCCTCATTTTGCATTTAAATTTTTTTACTGAATATGTAGCTTCACCCACCTGCCTACTTGCAATGCATGTTTAACAATTCTGTGGTTAGCACCTGAACTGAAATTGGTTGGACATAGACATCGATTTGTTTTACTTCCCTGTTGGATTCAATGGGACTACTCACTTCTTACTTAATGTGCTTGAGCATTTGGAAGCTCAGAGCCTTTGCTCTCTAATGATATTTTAGGCTTCCCAGTACACATGACAAGAGCTTTGTAATGCCATAGCTTACAACAAGGAAAAGAATATAGATAAATACCAAAACCCACCTAAACTACAGCATAAGACGTATATGAATGTGGCATTTTTCCTATAGAAGATCACTATACTACTATGAGAGGTGACCTGATAGCTGCCTACAAGTGTAACAGGGGTGAACACCAAGATCTAGGAGAGAAACTTTACAGAAAGGCACCCGTTGGGAGGACAAGGTCCAATAGACACAAACTAATTGGGGAAAAAATTAGGCTGGACATAAGGAAAACCTTTTATTCTGTAAGGGTTTCTAGAATCTGGAGCACACTCCCAGCGGAGGTGGTGCAGTTGTCATTCTTGGAGATGTTCAAGAGAAGGCTGAACAGGCACCTTGTTAAGCTAGTTTGAGCCCAATCACCTCCTGCCCATGGCCAGTGACCAGACTAGATGATCTTATAGGTCCCTTCTGGTCCTACTATTGTATGATCCTATGATACTTCCAACATAGGTAGGGTTGCCAACTCTATCTGAATCTATTCTGGGGGCTTCATCACATTATGTAATGACATTAATGACTGTGTCAGGAAGGCAAATGCACATTACTATTACATTTAAAAAACCCACTGAACAACTGTATAAATCAGATTCAACATTTAACAACATTATTTATTTTAATGAATGCCCTATCATTTATCTCCCAGGTGACTTTCAGCATTCTTCTGGGCCTGATCAAGCCATCTTCTGGAAATTTCTCTCTAATTCCTGGTGACTCCAGGGCAATCCTGGCAACCCTAGACATTAGGGTGGGCATCACAGAGGACAGTCCGGTTGCCCTCTGTCCTCTGTTGATACGAAACCCAATGCCTTTATGTCCTCTATTATTCTCTTGAAGAAAAAGAGGCGTTGGGTTTTGTATCTTGAGGAGAAAAGTAGAGGACATAAAGGTGTTGGGTTTTGTATCAATAGAGGACAGAGTAGCAGAAAACTGGAACGTCCTCTGTGATGGCCACCCTACTAAACCTAGGCCTGTCCTTCAGGTAAGAGGGACTTTATACTGTAACTATTAATATTATTATTATATAATAACTAACTATTATTAGGGATCAAACTTCAGGGTAGTGGTTGAGATGAATCTTGATGAGGAAGGCTGGGCTGCAAAGAGAAGTAATGGGAGAAGCCACAGATGCCATGCCTATCAGAGGCTGTGCAAAGGGCACATTCAGCTGCAGCCTTTACTCCCTCTCCTACAGGGAGGGAAGTAATAAATAGCTCTGACTGCTTTATTGCCCTGCAGGTTCAAACACTGCTACTCTGGGAATGCCACAGGGTGGGCAGGGCCCTGCTGGGCCAGCTCCACTCTCTCGGACTGCAATAGGGAGGAGGAGATTGTGCTCTGTGCCTCCTGCAGCAGGGAGGAAGGGGGGAATTGGGCCGAGCTGCTGGGTCTCTCCTGCGGAGGCTGAGCTGGAGAGGAGGAGTTGGTTGCTGGTCGCTTTTGTCCTAGGCGGGAAGGAGGAATGTTCCAGCGGGGCAGGGAGCTCCAGACCTTCCTCCTCCCTCTAGTCCGTCCGACCTGGAGATGTCAATGGGCAAATCTACGATTGCCTGGAAGCACCAGCGCGGGCCCCTCACATGACCTGGTGGCTCGGGGTCATTACGGCAGGATGGGCCCCAGCTGCTGCCCCTGTGGAGCGGAGCATGGAGCCGGAGCATGGAGCCGGATCCCTGCCGCGTCCAGGCCGAGTTGGGGGCCGCCGCGGTAGGAGGCGGCGGGAGGCGAAGGCAGAGCGGGGCCGGGGGGTGCCCTGGCGGCCCGTGGGCTGCGCGCGCAGGTGCTGCCTGCGGTGGGGGTGCCTGGTGTCACCCACGGGGGGCCAAATGGGGGCGAGGGCGGCCGTGGGGCACCTCTGACCCACCCGCTATCGAGTGAAGGGACAAAAAGGCGCCTGCCCTTATCTTGTCTTCTCTACCCCTGTCCCCCTCGCGGCTGGGGCCAAGACCGGGCTGCCGGCCCCTGTAACAGCTGGAGGTGGCTCAGGGTTACGGGCACCCCTGGCCTGGCAGAAGCCAGAAGCTGGTGTGTACGTGCACGTGTGTGTGTTTCTTAACCCTCTTCAAAATCTAATTTCCTTGTATATAAAACTCAGGAGAATTAAAAACTTTCAAGAAATCAGATTTTGGGAAAGGTTAAGAGAGACACCTTATATGTAGAGAGTCGGTATAGAGAGAGAGAGGGTATAGAAAAAGGGTACATATATATATAGAGAGAGAGAGGGGGGGGGGGGGGGGGTGGGTGTGTTTGTGTGTATATATATATATAGAAAGAGAGAGGGGTGTATATAGAGTGAGCGAGAGAATGGAGATGGTATGTAGAGAGAGACAGTGTGTGTGTATTTATATATATTCATATATTCATACACACACTATCACACACAGAGATAAAGTATATATTTCTTGCAAGGTTTTAATTTTCCCTGAGTTTTAAATATAAGAGTATATACTTTTTTCTTTGCATCTGCTCTCTCTCAGATTATTGTTTACAATACTAGTATAATGGCAATGTTCAGTGCAGATTCCTTGATATCCTGCCTCTCTAGTGAAACTAACCCAGAAGCATTATAGGTTTTTATCAGATTTTTGTTTTTTAGTCATGAGTTAGATCTTGACTTTTCAATGAGCTTCATGTAGATGTAGCCAGTGATGAGGAGCTAATGATTGGATTAAGGCTTCCCTATGTGTGGGGAACACACATATACCACATTATGTATGGATTATTAGCAAATCAATTTAAGAAGCTGGAGGTCTGTCCGTGCTTCTGTACCTGAAGTAGTTTTAAAGTGGTGTTTTCATTTCCCTATGCAAAAAAGGAAATGGAAAACCCACACAACATCCCTGGAGAAATTCCAAGTCCATGGACTAGGACTAGACACTGGTATCCAAAACATAAATCAAACTTTTCTAAGTTTCCTTGTGTGAAATGCCATGCTGAAGGCTTTAAAACAAGCAGGTTAAAACTTTAGAACTTTTATGTGTATTACCCTATCAGTTTGTAAAATGTGGCACTTATATGCATTAGACAACTTCAAAATATTTTCCAGATTCTGGGAAACTTATTTCAACAAATGCTTTAATGGAAAAGTTGCGTCTAAAGTATGCACAAACACCATGGAGTGAAACTCTGAAACTTGTACGGATTTGCATGGTAAGAATGACCAGCAAGCTTGCTGGTAGCCGGGCCAGAGTTGAGGGGAGGATGTGTGACAAAAGGGTAAATAAGAAAAATGCTTCAATAACTGATATTAAAGGTGAATTGGAATGATTACATCTTCTGAAATGTAAATGTTACCCCTTTTTTCATAGAGCAGTTGACAGAGATACTTTAAAATGGTGCAGGAAACTGTTTTTCATGAATCCTTTATGGGGCAAATGCAGCCCCAGAGTGATTGTCTGAGCTATTTTCGCCAAGCTCATAATATGTCAATTTAGCTAAGTGCATAAGCCTTTTCAAGATTGGGCAATAAATAAGGACGTTGGTATTTGATCCATCATGAGGTGGGATGCTTTTAGGAGTATCTTTTGTCCTTATCTTTTAAGGAATGAGTGCTGCTTCTCCTTTATATTGATAATCAAATCTAGCGTCTTCCTGTATACATTATTGTTTCTCCAGAATGATCAGTGAGTAAAGCATAAAAAGAGCTAATCAGATTTGTTTCCATATTCCTCTTTAATGGTTAAGTAAACTGTCTTTCTGAACAAAAACGATGTCCTGGTTCCATTGTTAAACCTGTATTGGCGTGTGATTTTTAAGCTGCTGACAGTGAACTTACAGTGCTACATTTTTATTGATGTTTTGGGGGTTTTCAGACAGCACTGCCAGGAAGCAGGGTTGGAAATACTGATTTCTAATTAATTCTTATTTTGAAATGTTGTTTGGGCCCCAATCGTACAAACGTGTTTTCATAGGAATCCTGACATGGTATTTGCTCATCCTTTACTTGGGCCAAACATTAAAAGAAGACCTCTGGATTTGCCCGTAGGAAGTACAATGCAACTAACTCGGATTATCAAATGATAATCGTTTTCCTACACAGTTTGAGTATTTCCCCACATTGCTCCACAAATTAGTAGTCTCCAGTAATCCATTTAGTTTGGTGAGACAGCTCTAGAGCTGGATGCTATTATAACTTATGTTTATAAGTGCCCGAAGAATCAGAGCCCTAATTTGTTCCTGTCTCCATATTAAATTCAGTAATTCTTCTAGGAGTTAAATTGGTCCTGCTTTTGGGTTGGGTTTCAAACTGTGATATATAACCAAGTTTTTTTTTTTACTTTGGATGGTGATTTCCTCCTCCCCCCTCTTTTCTTTTCTCACTTCACCTCTCCTTACAACTGTGCTAGGATAAACCAGTTCAAGGTTCCAGTGCTGTTACTGCAGATCGTCCGTTATTTTCTTGCTTGGAGAAGATACAGAAAACTTTAAATGGTAACAAGCTGTAAGAAACTTCATAGTCTACTGTCAAATGTTCTATTGACTTTGATTATGTGAAAGTGGTGGTAATTGATTCTCCAATTAAAGGCAGTGTCCAAAGGCCTGTACTCAGTATTTTAGCACCCTTGTGCTAAACCCTACATGAACCCAGAGGTAGATGACTGAAGTTGGCTTAAAAATATAGTACATATTTAGTTATCCAAACTTTTATTTATCTGAATAGTAATTCTTTTTGTTTTTTATATTGGGTTTGGAGTGGTGTTTTAGCCATAATATTCCAGGAAATATGCAAGAAGCAAGGTGTTTTTTGTTTTGTTTTGTTTTGTTTTCTTGTTTGTTTTGTCTGGGGTTTCTTTGTGATATCTTTTACTAACTAGACAAGCTATAGTTGGGAGAGGTGTCAAATGAGCTTTTGGGCAAAACATGTCCTTCTCTGGGCCACTTTTGTCTGTTTTCCTACTTTGAAACTGTTGGTGTTGTATAACAAACAGTTCTTTTTAAAGCTTTATTTAATAGAATACTGTATCTCTCTACCCCTAAGTTTGATACAGTAACTTGTAACTGTTTCACTTAGTTACATTTGTTTGGATTTCTGACTGGCTTTGCAGCAGGTGCTTTCCAAAGGGCTTGGATAACCAAGTACATACCCCAGATCCCAACATGGAACTATTTCCAGTAAAGCATTCTTTAAGCATGAACTTAGATTGGTTGCTAATTAATGGAAAACGTTACAGCCTATGACTTATTACTAATCATACTTTTTAGAGTAGAAATACCTTGATACTGTTTTCCAGTTCAAAATTGAATAATATTTCTCCTTTTGCAGCTAAATCTCTGGCTGCTATGATGAACCAACTGGAATGTTTATCCAAACAGAAGGGGTAAGTAAGTTTACGCAGCAGATTTAAGTGATGCTGAACTGCCTCAAATCCAGTGAGAATTACCATGTGGCTGACTTGTCAACATCTCATGAACTTTTTTTTTTATTTCACATACGTGAAACAAATGGAGGATGCATAACACACACTTAATTACCTGTATCATTCCTAACTGTTGCTTGGCTAGACCTGAGGTCATGCAATTATCAGTGCTGCTGCCCAAGGTAAATAATGTTCAGAAAATGATAATGCAAATTGCAGAAGAGAAAAGGCACAAACATAATTCTTGCTTGGGTCATTATTAAATGCCAAGCAAAGGAACAGCTATTTTAGAGGAGTGAACTTTTCCTAGAATCTCCTGACACCCCCAAATAAAATAAACTGATCTCTGTTCTTCACTCAAACAAATTCTTAAATATACACCTCCTTTTCCTTTTCCTTTTCCATAGGCTTAACTCCTACATTAGCCCTAATGGAACATCTTGCTATATAACTTCGGATATGTTCTATGTAGAAGTTCAGTTGGAGAAGGATGGAAAGGTGATAGATGTAAAGTTGGCTCACCCTGGAGAGGCCCCTGTGGTAAGGCTTTTTGTTTGTTTGTTCCCTTAGAGAAGTTCATAATAGCGTCTTATATAGTTAATTGTGGAAAAATGACGATTCGAATATTCCCATGCTACTGAACAAAATTTCGCAGTAGACTGACCGATTCCTGTGAGTTAACGATGTTATCAGCTTCATTCCTACGGGACTTAGCAATTTGTACTACTTGGAATCTTGTTTAGCAGTCTCATCTGAAGTGGCAGGGACTGAGCAGGTACGCAGACTGAGCTGCTCTCACAGATGATGTCTCTACTGAGTTTCTTTATATATTTAAGTTTCTTTAACATGGACCGAGCCCTTGAAAGTCATCTATTAAAATCTTTAGTAGCAAATACAAGGTGCGACTCGTATGATTTCTGACTCGGGGTTTATACTGTCTCTGAATATAGCTATCCTCAGATTTTATACCAGGTTCTCACCCTTTCTTAAAACACAGATTTTCAATTTGAATGGTTTTCAATACATGCCGGGTACAGGACCTAATGCTATGTTGCCAATAAGATGAAACTTAATATATATGTCAAATGGAAGTATCTTTTTCTGTTACATTCTCCATTTCTCAGCCATCTACCCCAGGATTGCACACGTTCTTGCTAATGCAGATTACCAGTGGAAACTTTCCAGGAGCTTCTTATTAAAATACTGGAATAAGGTTATGTGCGGGCCGGGAGCGACCTGAGCCCTTTTCGCGCTGCACGCGGGCTGTGGCCAGCAGCCCGGGCACGCTGGGGCGGAGAGGGAAGGCCTTCGAGCTGGAATTAGGCACGGACGCGTAGCAGTAGTTTTAAAAGATTGTTTACTTACACCGAGATGGCAGTGGTGTAGGCTGGAAAGCTTGCTTAAATTGCGGTTACAGACAAACAACACAGACGGTCTCGTGGAGGTTGCTAGGCTCCACGGTGTAGAGCTCCGGATGCTCTGGGTGAACGAGCTACCAAAATAGGAATCGTAAATACGTCTTATAAAAGTTGCGTTCGAAGACGGGAAGAGGTGGGCGGTGGATCAGGCCGCCACGCTCCTCTGGATCTCACACAGGGTTTCTATTACCCTGCCGTGTACCCAGAGTCCCCACGAGATGGATGTGGAGTCCTCTTCGGTTTGGGCGGAAACTGCTCAAACCTCTTATACGGCTAACAGGCCAATCCTTAGCTGCCACGTGTGAATAATTTAGCACTAGCCAATCACGGGGAACAAATCTGCATACCAATGGCGGGAACTCTTTTGCACTGTGCATTCCTCTTGCAACTCGAGCAATGCACTCTGCAAAAGAAGCTGCAGAAAAGGCAGGAAACTCGTCCCTGCACCGGGGTTTTCCTCTGCAACAGGAAACTCTCCCGTGCAATGCTCTGCAACTTGACGGGGATAATTCTGGTG